GTGGAGTAAAACTGTCCTTCTGAGCATGGGATTGTTCTGGAATCCCTTTGTGATAGCTCAGGGCTCTGCTGGAGGCAGGATCAGCGTGTTAAGCCAAACTGGTGGGATACTACCAGAGGTTCACCCTCACAAGTTCTTTCTCTTTTAGTCATCGATCTACCAAATCTTTGTGGAAATAGGCTTGTCCTTGCTAAAATATAGTTGATGTGTTTCCTTACTGGGGTTGGCACTTCTAAAAGTTGATTTTTTTTTTTTTTAGGGTTTGGTTTTTTTTTTAAAGACACACATACAACCCTAACCCCCCTGCCCCCAAACCCAGTGTACCAGTTTATTGCTGGATCTTGTAATCTCATCTTGCATTACAGTTTTGCTTCCCTGAAAAGGAGCTGTTGGGGCAAAATAGAATAACATTTTTGGTCTAGATAAAAATCTAAGCAAACATGAATAAGGTATGCTTGCGATGCTTGTGTTGTCATTTACTCATAGTAAATTTAAAATGTGTTAGGTAAAATGAAAACTTGAAATACCACGTTGGTACAAGTATGTGCATGTACTTGATATAATTTCCTACTTTGATTTTAGTATTATGCTATTTCATAATCCTGTGGCAGCAACTCCAAAAGAAATGCAAAAAGTTTTTAAAATTTTGCAGGAAAGAGCCAAATGATTTTGGCTGTAAAACATGTTGTAGCGCTCTCTACCTTGTCTTTATATTAATTGGATTCCAGTGGACTACAGGACATTTTAATGAAACTTTTATATTGTGGGATGATTATAAACAAAGTGTCACTGTTACCTGATGTCCATTCTGTACACAGACTTTTTGTTAAATCAAAATTCCCAATCCAGGAATTCCTGGCTGTCAGTCCAGATATTTCAAATGCAAGTCTTCTTAGGTTCTTAGGATTTTAGGTTCAATGTGATAAGTATTGAGAGGACTGAGAAATTTATTTCAGATGCTGAAACTTTTAGCTAGATTTGTGTTTGTTTTAAATTCTATTCTGAGTATCAGTATAATCTGAAAGTCACTTCTGTGCTTTTTGTAGCATTTGGGATGATAATTTTAGCTTCTAAAGCTTCCTGGTTTCATACAACACACTTCATATACTTTTGCTACAGTACAGGCCTTTTTAAGCAAGCTTTGTCATAGTTTAAGTTTTTTGCTGTGTACCTGTGTATGTACATAAAGCACATCTGTGTGTGTATCACTGCTCTCAGCAAGAGGTCCTGTTTCAGTAGGTCAACAGATGCTGAATTTAGTTTCATTTTGATAATACTTGCATGGATGCATGCAAGCTTTTAATAAAAAGGCAAGAAAATGTTCACCTGATGGTAGTTTTTAAAACAAACAAACTTCCATTACTGTATTCTGAGCCTAAAATGTGATTAAAGAAATTCTTCAGATAAGCTGAAATAGGGAAGCTTTTGGTATGCAGGATAACTTCTGCAAGGAAAGATGAAATCTGTCATTCTGCAACTAAAGATCTAAATGTTTGTGGTTTGGAGTAATTTCTTTATTTTTATGTTCATCTCCTTTTACAACTGTCACCATAGGGAAACAGCACTCTTGACTTGGCACTTTTACAGTTGAGATCTGTTGACCTTTGTACTAAACTCAGCAGGTTATTTGCTAGACTGACTTCTGTTCAGGTAGGCTAGGTTTGGTGTAGAGGCTGAAGTGGACACTGTCAAAACAAACCAACCAAAAAAAAGGCACCTAAATCCATGACTGGTTTAAGTACACTTTGCTGTCAAAAGATGCAATCCTACTCTACTGGCTTATTTTCTTGGGTGTTTTTTTCCACCTGTGCTAGTGCAAGTATTCATTTGATGTCACAACAAACAAATTGGGGTGACTGATACTGTTTAAAGATTTTGTTTAGGTTGGTTTTAATGTGAATCAATTTGTCTGGTCCACAAGATATTTGGGACAGAACAAACAAGGTAGGAAAAGTGAATATGAGACTGAGGAGAAGAAGGCAGGGCTTCCTGCAGGACTGTATTCATCACTGGTGCCAGCCTAAATTGTTTAGGAAACACAACATGGATTATACCAATATTATCTTGTAAAATTTAATGATGTATTAAAAAATACGAGAATTTTGCTTTCGGTTGATACGTGAGGTTAAGGATAGTAGTGGAACCGAAGCTATGATCAGTTATGAGCTCTTGGTCTCAATACACTGTTACGAAGTGCAACATACTTGAATTCAAGTTGCAAAATACTCTCAAGAAATCAACCTGCACATGCATGACCAAGCAGTGTGTGGAAGTTACATATTTTAAATTTAGTGAATGAATTCATTCTGCATGATACTCACTTGTGCTTAATGTGTAACGTTGTTGTGGGAAGCCTCTGAATAAAATTATTTTCTGTATCATGTATTTTAGGAACCTTTTATGATCTTCCTTTCTCAGTTAATTCCTGGTTTGCAAATTCAAGCACTGGCTACTAATGGTATTGAATAGTTGAATATATTCCTTGATCGCATTCCTTCCATCTTTTGGGGAACACTTGTTGCCAAGTGGAATGAGGTAGAAGGTATTAACTTCAAACCTGAGACTTGGTTAGGTATACTGAATTCTTGCTAAAGTGGGAAAAAAAAGCCCAATGCTTTTTTTCTTTTTTTTCCTCTTACTTAACTCCTGGGCTCTTTCCTGTGTCAGGAAGAACTGAAAACTATTAGTAGGCATCTAATAGATGAATTATCACACCACAACTGAATGCAGATGACGAAGGTGGAATAACAGTGGCATTATTCCAGGACTTAAATCCAAATGAACAAAGTCCAATTTTAGCTGAGAAAAGGGAAGTTGTTGGAATATCTAGTGAAGTTGCTGGCCTTTATTTGTGAGAGTTAGCATTCAAACTGAAAGGTGACTCTTATCTCCACAAAATTTGTCCTGGATTTAATTAATTCCGTCTGGAAATTGACACCACATTTAAACAACATATTCTGGGTGGGTATACAAATCACTTGGAGTGTCACTGTTTTAATTAAATTATTTTCTAAGTGTTTTTTTCTTAAGTCACTAGAATTTTTCATGTATGAAGAAGAGATCTGCATCCATATGGATTCAGGTGTCTTAAAATAGCTAGCTTATTTCTGCACAAGGAAGAAAATGAGTACATGCATTGGCTAAGACTGAACTGATCCAACAGCTTGTGTTTGCTGAGATAATATACTGGTATTTGCTGGTGTGATGCTGCCCATTTTACATGTGCTTTGGTTCTGTCTTCATCTTGAGTAGGCTCCTGTTCACGTGGGATGTATTTTATCTTTGTTTCCTGATGCGTAGCAAGTTGAATCTGTGTGGAGACAAGTTTAAGATTGTATGCAGTGGAGGTGACCTGGCCTCCTCCCTAGGGAGAGCAGGCATGGGAGCACCCCCTTGCTCATTTACAAGCCTGTGGGGCGGTGGTGTTACCGTCTCCTGCCTTAGCAGAATTCCACTGGTGACCAGCAACCTGCAGCTGTGTGAGGCCGACCCAGGCTGTGCACTCTCCAGAGCAGTGATTCTGCCTGTACATCATGTCTGGTGTGCCGTGATGTGGCTGCTTTTTGAAAACATCCGATGTCATAGACCATAAATGCCAAAAGGTATGATTTTTAGGAAGCTTGTGCTAAGGCATCAGATAGATAGAAGTCGTGCACTCTTACTCTGTTTCCAGTCCCACACCTGTGTTTTGCCTTTGTATGAATAACCACATCTATAAGCCAGATTTTCAGACCGTTCTCAACTCTTCCTCTTTGTGTAGTCAGCCCTTAAATTCTGAGGGTTTTGTTCCCTCCAGTTCTGTGCCTACAGCAATATGCAGCCTTTTTCTTCATGGCCTGTCTCTCACTTTCTGCTCCCCAGGATCTGCACTGCATACTGCAGTTCTTGCCTGAGGGAGACCAGATGTGTCTCTGCATTGAGAATCACATCTCACCTCTGCACTTCACAGTAACTCCCTCTTCTGAACTCCTCATGCCAGAAACAGAGTATTAATGCAGGGAGAGGAGACTGGAACAATGCTGCAGCTTCCATGAAACACATGCCTTTACATGTTACTTTCATGGCCAATTTAACATGCCACAGATGTACTGAGAAAGGAGATAAATTTGGGAGCATATAGCAAATGAAGGTGCACCTGTGACAATGCAGTACAATTAATCTACGTGTTCACAGTACTCAGTGGACTCTAAAAAATTCTTAGTATAGACTTTACCTTTGTATCACTCTCTTATCTGCATGTTTGTATTTTTGAAGGGGGCACACCAGTTCAGTTAACAGTAGCACTTCTTCATGTGGTAACTTTCATTTTGTAGTATTAATAATTTAACACTACCACCATAGGAATAAATTAGAATGTGCTTGTTGTATGTTTAGCAATGAATCCTTGCTCGAATTACCTCAGAATTGACTTCCTAAAATGTTTTCAAATGCCCAGTAAAAACATTCAATGAATACTTAAATGCCTAATTTTTACTATTATAAACCTACTTCTAGGTCTTTTCAAGCCTAAATTTGAAAAGCAGTACTGAATGAGAACTATGTAAATGTTACAAAATTAAAATACAGCTGAAAACAGTGATAATGGTGTAACCTCCAACGGGATTGGCTTGTTTTGCTTACTCAATCAGTGTAATTCAATCTGGGATTATTTAACATTGTGGGAATATAATAAACATGTATGAAAAGTCTTTCTTGGTATAGTCAAAGGAGCATATCTAGTCTAGACCAACTTCTGCTTGAAGATTTCGTAGCTAAAAGCTTGATAGCCATCCTGTTCTGTGTTACAAATTTATCATACTGATTTGTGAATGGTTTGGAAAATTACAAGTCATCATGGGGGAAAAAAGTATTTTCTATCTTGGTTTAAAATCCTTCAAATAAAAAGCTATCTTGGAAGTGTTAAAGGTTTTATTTTATGAAAGTACTATGTGTTGGAAGCTTAATTTATTTTATCTGACGAACAAATAACAAAGTACTTAATTGGTGTTTTTGTTCTTCAGAAATGGAGGAGCAAAATGCTGGACCTGGGATTGAAGATTTATAAAGGATTATGGGATTATGTACTGAAGAGCCAGCAGGCGGAATGCCTGAGTGACTGAAGAAAATGGGTGCTAATGCATCTAACTACCCTCACTCGTGTTCCCCAAGGGTAGGGGGAAATTCACAGGCACAACAGACATTCATAGGTAACTCTTTTCAGCTATCTTGTCACTTACATAAATGACTTGCTGGATTGTGTATGCACTGGATTTGATTTGCTTGCAGAAATGTTGTATAGAGCTTTTATTTTCTAGGTCACCAGTTTGAATCCATTCAAGCTCAATCGTGCATGAAATTCGGTCCTGTCCATCTGTTTGGCCTATGTATGCAATGAGTTGATCTGCCATTTGCTAGTAAACAGTTGCCAGATTATTTAAATAAAATAAGTGGAGAGTTTTTTATAATTAAACCTTGCATGCTAGTTTTGCCAGTTGCTTTCTGTTACCACTTTTTATTCTTCTTCCTCAGATTTTCTGTGAAAGTGTGTTAGAGCATATAAAACTCTTGATCATCAGTATTCATTGTAGTATTGGCATTGTGTCCGAGTGAATTACTTCCTTATTGCTATAAGGGATGTCTTTGGTAATAAACCTGTTAAAGTAGCAAACAGTCTTGAAGACAGCTTTTCCTCCTTTTCCTGTGCCTTTAAATGGGGAAGGGGGGTACTTATTGTCCTAACAGTATTATTTAAAAGCAAGAACCTTGCTTAGCCAGAAACATGAGTTAAAGGGCCCTTAAGAAATTATTTCCATATTCCAATCATAACTGGGGCAGGCATTACCTTTATGTGTTTCTCAGTCTAATGCAAAAAGACCTCAGTGGAGATCTAAGTACTGTCACACTATAAATAATAAATAGTTACATTATGACTCTAGAAGAAGGCAGTTTTTGAGAAGATAAATATTCCTTCTCCTGACAGCCTGAAGAAGGATCTTAGCAGTAAATAACATCAATAGTTTATAAATACCTTTCTCCTTTATGCCTCAGTTTGCAACACTGAATAAGTAGTTATTGATATTCAGTGTTACTTCTTTTTTAATCACCATTGAAAGCACAGTGCTGTCTTTAGCAGAGGAAGATTTGCTTTGTACACGTTCTCTTTTGTCTCAGCTCTTGTGGCATTCCTTACTCAGATTTGTAGAGGACAGGCCACAAACTGTTACATTTAAGGACCCAAACTCTGGGCAAAAAAGTCCATGTGTGCAGTCATAGCATGTCAAGGAAGAACTTGGTACTAACATCATGGATATCTGTGCTGTAAAGTTCCCTTAAGGGTTTACATATTTTCCGTGTATTGTAGCTAACAGTAATAGAAGGTTTGCCCCAGTTTACATACAACTTTCTAAAAATCAGAGCTAAAATGTTTTTATTACATGTCTTGGTGTTTTTTAATCTGCCCCTATACTGAGTGAAGAGAAACCATTACAGGCCTGGAAACAGGCAGATCTGCATGCTGAAACACCTTTTAAACAGATTTGAAAAGAAGAGATTTCCAAAGGCTTCATTAAATTCCCCAGAAAATTTCTACATAGTATGTGGAAGGTTTAGTTGATACCCTTCATTATTAAACTCAAAATAGAAACCCATTATGTAGTATGTCACAATAAATTTACTGACCCTCGTTGCCTATGGAAAATTGTGGTTGAGCCTCTTCTTGAGGAAGACCTAACAGCATGTGCTTGTCTCATCTTAGGCAAGGCAGATGAGTGGTCTGGGTGAAATTCTTGCTGAAATCTTTTGATATTATGGGGTTCCATGAGTGTGCTATTCCCATCACACGTGCACAGCTCTACTTCTCTCTTTGTGATGCTTGGCTCCTGCTCATTTTGATTTTTGTTTGGGTGGTTGGTTTATATAGCTGTCTCTGTAGAGAAGAGATGTATCCTAAAATTGATAGCTGAGGTTTCCATCACTTGTCTTAATGTTATATCAACTTCTGTAGGTTTGGGGGTTTTGTGGATTTTTTTTTTTTGGTACTGTGGGTGGTTTTCTTATGTGGAAGGAGCTTCTCAGAGCTATTTACTGCCAAATTAGCACTGGGGAATAGAGTTATAATAGCTGCATATTTTAGTTTTCTTATTCCTGGAAACGGGATTTAGACCTGTAGGTTTTAGACATGCTGCTTTACCATTAAAGCACTGCACCATCTTATGATGTAAATGTAGGATGAACACAAAGCTGAGACCTGATCTGGCAAAGCACAGTAGTTTCATAGTAAGAGCTCTTATTGTTAGTGCTGAACTTGCTTACAGTTTATGAAGAGCAGATAAATCAGTAAAAATGGTGTAGTGCGCTTACTGTAAAGAAATAGTTTTGTTCTAGTGAAAGCTTACCTAGTCATCCCATTGCTATTTTGTCTACAGCATTAAGGAGGAGGATTTCACACCATTTTCTAGGGTGGTACATCTGTTCAAGATGTTTGTTTTTAAATAGAGCTCTATAATTAGATTTTCAAATGTGTGGGAATGCAAAGGACTAAACAGATCTCATTTTTCATTGTCAAGTGCCCAGGTAGTTTCTCTTGGTAGTCTTCAGTTTGTGTAAATATCTACCTGTTCAAAGCTAGGCATGGTCTAAGGACATGAAGGAGCTATTACTTTTGAACAGCATTTAATAGATTGGTGCCTTTTAGTGTAGAAGTGGGGAATAATTTTTTTTCCTACTTGTAATGCTGCTGCCTTATGAAGGAATACAGGCAGGTCAAAAAGGTTCTCTTCCAGATTCTTTTTTTGAGGGATATGGAGCCACCAGCTGTTGTGAACCCAGAGAGGCAATGCTGGTGCATCTCTGTTTCTGCCTCTGACAAAGCAGTTGCATGGTGGTGCTTTTGTAGCAGTGGTTTATGTATTTGTAAGGGTTAACAGCACTGTTTGCAGTACTTCCAAAGCCAAATCTTGTAAGTAGCTCAGGGTTCACAGAGGTTTGAATGGCGTTTTAGTATTTTGTGGTGATTCATGTGCAAGTAATACCTCAGAGCAGCCTTCAGGGAAGAAAGAAATTGAAACTTGTGGTGTCCTACTTTTTCTTTAGTAGAATGTAAGAGAATGTTCTGCAGACTCAAATTTGCTGTTAGAATCTAAAATACTTCAAATAGAAATGAGCTGGTGTTTTTTTGCAGCAGAATCTGTCATTATAGAGTGACCAAAGTGTAGTTAAACTTTTATTGTGAAATGTAATCGAAACTCTTTAAATAATGCAGAAATTATAAACTTGTCTCTATCAACAGGAGGCTGAATCTCTACTTTTTCATTTTCATATCTAGTATAGCATGTGGAAGGAATTTTTATGGAGGATTTTGCAGCACAACCTCTTCATTGAAGTTGTCTTGAGTTACTGCTGTTCTTTTCATTTAAATGGATATTTTTTCATGTCTTGAAATTTCAATATGATTAATAACATGTTGCATGATCAAGCAAATTTTAATGTAGCTTAGATGTCTTTCCTCAAATAAAGCAAAGTTCCTTCCCAGGGTTTTCACTAATAGATGAATCATAAAACCACTGTGTTGCATGCTTTGTGGGAGTTCTAATTAGCTTGGTGTAAAAGCCACTGTATGAGTTTACTTACAGTTATTGAAGCTTAAACAATAACACAATTTACAGAAATCTTAGATTGCTACAGTTGTCATGCTCTCAAATACGACTTTAAAATCATTCCTGTGTCTTTCAAAGTTCAAGGAATACTTATTTGGAATAATGTGGTAACTAAAAGCCCTGTGTTTTATCGGTCTGACCCACAACATCACTGTCAAAATAGCATCGCAAAACATCATCACAGCAAACCTACCTGAAACGAGTGGAACTGTGAGAGTGCCATGATAAAACAAGTTTTAAAAGGCCCCAAACACTCTGGATGTGCTTCGAGCTTAAATAAAAAAAGGCAACAAGTAGTGGAGCTACACAAGTGTACGAATGGAAACATGTTAACTATTCCTGACAGAAAAGGGACAAATACTATTTCAGATGAACCTGTTACTGAGCAAATGTTTTCTTCTTGTTTCTTCTTTGGTCCAGAAGTAGGAGTTTGGTTTGTGTACTGTCTTCTTTTATTGTCATGTCTGAGGTTCTTCACCATCTGGCTCTCTTTAATACAGAACTATCAAAGTTCTGTAAATAAACTTGAATTAGAAAATAACCCTTAAAAAGAAGTGTGACTTTCACATTGAAACTATGTTTTTTAACTACTTTTTTTACTAAAACATTACTTCAGTTTTCCATTAGTAGCAGAAGTACAGTTTCTAACTTTTTTTGTTACTAAATTGCTATTGTTGTTAGTGTAGCAGCTAGGCTCAAACTGATAGCAAAGACTAGATAGCAGAATGAATCAGGTATGGAACACATTATCTTGAGGGGGAATCCATTTTTTTTTGTTTCATTATATATTTGGTTCATAACATAACTTCCCTATAAAGTATTTTTATGGAGAAAAATAATTATAGGAAATCTTAATACAATAAAACTTCTATTCTCCATATTCTTTTTGATGGTGTCTGTGCACAAAATAGCATCTGTAGTTCTGTGGAAAGGAGCCCATTTTACGTGTTTGACTTCAGCATTACTTGATTGTCATGTGATAGAATTTTTATTTTCTTGTTAAATTTGCACTGAAAGTAATTAATTGTCCTCAGTTTCCCTGAATGTTTTGGTACTGTGTTCTTTCTTTTTTTTTTCTTATGGCTGTAACTGTTTGATGCCAGGTATACTTTTCTTGTTGAAATGATACTTTAATGCTAGAACAGAATTTGAAAAACACTTTGTTGGGGCCTTACTACTATTTCACTGAGATCATACTAGTCTTTAAAAAGTTAATACAAGACACTTTTAATGTTATGACCACAGTATGACCAAACCAAACAAAAAAACCACATCTGACCCCAAAAACCAGCAAACAATAATCTTTGTGGATTTGGGAGGAGGAGGAAAGAAGGTTTTGTTCTTAATGGCCAGCAAATGCTTCAATCAGGTTTTCAACTTGTCAAATTATCTGATGTGCATGTCATTATCTGTGTAACTTGCAGAGAGATTGAATATTTAGATGTTATGGACCTTCCTTTTCAATTTAAAGAATAAATGTGTTCCATTTTCGTTTTTACTTTCAGGGACATCATCCTACTCTCATCAAGGTTATGGCTGTGAATCAAAGCTCTATAGCCTTGACCATGGCCATGAGAAGCCTCAAGACAAGAAAAAGAAAACCTCTGGCCTTGCCACCCTCAAGAAGAAATTCATTAAGCGTCGGAAATCGAGCCGGTCTGCTGATCACGCCAAGCAGATGCGCGAGCTCCTCTCAGGCTGGGATGTCAGAGATGTTAATGCTTTAGTAGAAGAATACGAAGGAACGTCAGCCTTAAAGGAACTTTATCTACAAGCTAATTTGGCAAGACCAGAAGCCAGGACGCTACAAAAAGACATGGCTGAACTTTATCAGTACAAGTATTGTACCGATGTAGACTTAATATTTCAAGAAACTTGTTTTCCTGTGCATCGTGCGATCTTGGCGGCAAGATGTCCATTTTTTAAAACGCTGCTTTCTTCCTCACCGGAATATGGGGCAGAAATAATAATGGATATTAACACAGCTGGCATAGATATGCCTATGTTTTCTGCTTTGTTACACTACCTTTATACGGGCGAGTTTGGAATGGAGGATTCAAGATTCCAAAACGTTGATATCCTTGTTCAGCTTAGTGAAGAGTTTGGAACACCGAATTCCTTAGATGTTGACATGCGCGCACTGTTTGATTATATGTGCTACTACGATGTGGTTCTTAGCTTTTCATCCAACTCTGACTTAGTTGAAACTTTTGGTGGAGGTCAGAACTGTCTAGATGAAGAGCTCAGAGCTCACAAAGCTATTATTTCATCACGATCTCCGTTTTTTCGTCACTTGCTGCAGAGGAGGATACGAACTGGTGAAGAAATCACAGACCGAACTCTACGAACTCCAACTAGAATTATATTGGATGAATCTATCATACCAAAAAAATATGCTAAGGTCATTTTGAACTGTATGTATACAGATGTGGTGGACCTCTCGGTTTTGCACTCCAGTCCCTCAGTGGGCAGTTTAAGCGAAGTTCAGGCTCTTGTAGCAGGAAAACTAAACATGACTAGGGCTGAAGAAGCTATGGAGCTTTATCACATAGCACTGTTCTTGGAGTTTAACATGCTTGCACAAGGTATGTAATACTGTCCTTGCTGTAGAACATATGACTTTACTAGAACAATTTTTAGCTATTTTGCAGTGTAAGTATGCTTATTGTCAGCTATCAGTGGCTGACAGTTCCTTTAGAAAAGGAAGTTGTTCTCTATGTGTAAGTTGTCAATAGTGCATCTGTTTTCTAGGGGCAGAAGAAATGCCATATAAGAGCTTTTAGTTATATGGTGCCTTGTTGACACATGCTCTTTATATCAAATATGCATAACTGGTCTTGGTATTTCTGATCCTTGTCTATTTCTGTAATTCATTTGTTGGGTGTAACCTATAGGGAGAGGATATGAGAGAAGGAAATATTTGGACTTGTAAGGAAGTGTCCCAATGTGTTAACAAGGCTGTAAACTTGAATGATTATTTCTGTAGCTTATGTCAAAGGGGGAGCACCAACCCTTAACTCTTGCTGTTGGAAAGTAAATTTAAACAACTTAATTGCACTAGTTTTAGGTCTTTAATATCTGCTTCTCTGTGTACAGAACTGAAGGCAGGGCAGTCAGTATTTTCAAATGTAAAGTTTAGAAAGTTTTACTACTTCCATTATTCTTGACAATCACTAAAATCTTGATCACATACAACTTCTTGCACATAAAGGCTGGCCAGGGTCATTGCAGTCTCTGAAGTGTCAGAGCACTGATTGGTGAACTAATGGCACCTCATGTGGTGGCAGGAGCTTAACCTGCAATTTTGTCAGTTGATGTCTGAACTATTTTGTGACCATATTATACATAATGGGGTATGGGAATTGTTTCAGGCCTTGCTTGTGGGGAATGGTAATTTTGCTTTTGAGCTGAGGAAGGGAGAATGGAACTTACTGGTACATCAGCAACATGATTTGTTTAAGCTTGTTTTTTTGTTTTGTTTTGTTTTTTAACGAAAGTGACTTTTTACAGTAGATCTGTGAATCTGTAACTTTTAGCTGTCAAATTAAATTTGATGAGATTGAAACCTTATAAACTGTTAAGGAGGTTTCAGTAAATAGGAAACTGAAGGAGTAGACATAACAGAGCAGGTATAAGCACTGCAGAAAGAGATTGTATTTGTAATGGGTTCTCCTAATACTTACATGAAACTGAGAATGGTAAATATATGGGAAACTAATAATAAAACTAGCTCATGTAGAGCTTGGCATTAGAAACTAATTTTCAGATCATGCTAAAAGTTGAAATAACTACTGCAATAAAACTGACAGAAATCAAATGAGACTTGTTTTCTGAGGTAACCTGCTACAGGATATGATTGAGCTGTTCTTAGGCTCAGAATCATTGAATCCTAGAGCAGCCCAGGTTGCAAAGGACCTCAAAAGATCATCTGGTGCAACCTGTTGTGAGAAAGGGAGCCTAGGTGAGATAAGGTAGCATTCTGTCCAATTGTATCTTGAAAACCTCTAGTGATGGGGACTGCACTGTGTCCCTGGGGAGGTTGTTCCAGGGAATGATTGTTCTCATTGCAAAAACATCTTGAATTGAGATGTCTCCCAGTGCAAATTGTACCTGTTGCCTCTTGTTCCCTTCATGTGGCTCCTTGTGAAGAGACAACCTCTGTCCTCTTTATAGTTGCCCTACAATACCTAAAGGTACTGGAATACTGTGATGAGGATTGACTCCTCTTGAGCCTTCTGTTCTGCAGGGAGAAAAGACCTAACTTCTTCAGTCTTTCCTCAGAGGCTGGGTTCTCCAGCCCTTGGGTCATATTTCTGGCACTCCTTTGGACCCTTTCTGATCTGTCTGCATCTTTCTTATTTTTGTTGTTGTTTCCCTCTGAGTACACCTGGAAGCTTAATGTTGAATGGAATGCCAAAGGGGCAAGAAGTGTCATGACAGTTGAACTACGGTACTAAGTTAATTTCTGTGTGATATTTACAAGTTAATAGTACTTGAGAACACTCAGTAGGTGAAAGCAAGAAATGAAAATGGGTTGAAATTAAAAAAGGGATAGGAGTATACAGGTTCTGAGTTTTGGTGCACATCCCCAAGTGCTGAAAGGATTTAACATGCTCAGGGAATGCTAATGAGGGAACTTAACTGTGAACAAAACTCTCAGTAAGACACTGAATAATTATGCAGTTTCATAAATGAATAAGGGTGCAATTCTTTCCCTCAGACTGGAAACCTAAACTGTGATCTGGAGGTGCTCTAATGAAGCAGTGTCAGTTATATCAAAGCAGATAAGCAGTGACAGAGAACTTAGAAGAGCAACTTAGGTAAACTTATAGACAGGAAAATGGCTTTTATTTTTGTGTTAGTAAATGCTGAAAAAACAGATGTTTCATTTGATGCTGAGTTTCATTATTTCTGCTCACTTTAAGTTGAGCATGGTTGGATCAGCGTGTCCTAAACTGGCACTCTTTTCAGTAATGCACTGCAGAATGGTGCTGCTCTGGAATGTATATTGTATGAGTCAGTGGTAACACGATCTTAACTTTTCCCTGGAGGTTTTCCCCCAGCACTACTTCTAGGAGAGTGAAAAGAGCAGCAGGAGGAGCTGCTCTGGACTTGCAGCACCTCCACAGCGTGCTTGGGTGGCTGGAACCAGCGACTGCAGCAGAGCAGGCTCAGTCTTGGAGGCCCTCTGGATGAACCAGAACTGTAGAGTTTTGGGGGTGGTCATTGGGAGAAGGTAGAGTGGTGTAGTGCCCTACCAAGATTTTTCTTTCCCTAGTAAGCCTTATTCTGACCACAGAACTGGTGAGGTTGAGGGGTGGGGCAGTTGTTATACATAGGGGAGAAATGCAGTAAAATCAAGCAAGTGTTGAAGCGTATTATATTATCAAATACTAGCAAGTGTAAATTTTGCACCCCTTCAGACACTGAAATTCTAGATGTTAACTTGAACTATTTAGAGTTTTACAAAATTGGTGCTGTGTTCCCTAGCTACAGAAGAAGCAAGCACTCTGTAGAAGATCTCTACATGCCAGTGAAGTCAGAATCTAATAGTTTTATATTTAGTTTGCAGAGTTCATGTTTAGGTCATTGGTACTGTGCAGTCACTGAGGAATTGTTCTGGTATAATCTTATAATCAAAATTAAAAGGAAGGTTATTTGATCAGGAAAAACTATATGCCTGCACTTGACTGAGATCACTTAACAAAGTATGTGCTTTAGTAGTGATCACCATTCTTATTTCTGCACTTAAATGTAATACCTTGTCCTCACTGATATAATACTTAACATGAGGTCTTCAGTAGTGTCCCTCCCTTTCCCTGATTTCACAGCTAGCAGACTTCTGTGCTGGAGGCTGTCGCTCAAACATCTGACTTCTGGCTATTATGCAGAGGGACGCTGCAAGAGACATCATTGTGTCAGTGTTGGAGACCACGAGCAGGCAGTTCTCATGAATTCCCTGAGCCTGGACCTCTGACTGTGTTTTTCCATTCTGTGGTGCAGCAGGTGTCCAGTCTTGCCCAAGTGCTGACTGATCCCCTCAGCTGGCTTTCGCAGTAGCTACGTCTAAAGTTTCTTCTCTAGATTTCCACACCCCCTGGCTCAAGTTTTTTATTTCAGTTCACTCATGCTACCCAATTGCAAACTTGCTAAGACTTGTCTCCCTGGTTTCCTAGAAAATATTTTGGGCTCGTTTACATTAAAGTCTGGATACTCTTTCCAATTCACTTTGCTCACTTTTACTCGGTTTTGGCTGGGTGTTTGTAACTGAGTGTCAAGTGAAGTTGATGTATTTTAAGGCTTCTGATCAACTGTTTTTATTTTCAACAGATTTTAGTTTGATTTGTCTTCAGGGAGCTTTCTAAGTATCCAGATGTTGTAATTTTTCTTCAGTTTCAACAGATGATTCAGCTTTGACTATTTCCATGGAAATTTTCCCATTGCTAACACAGTGATACTCTTTTCTGACTATTGTAATTTAATAGATAGTTTCCCTGTGATGAAGTCAGTGATAGTATGGGCATGTACTATGACTCTACTGTCCAAGTAAAGCAGGACAGCTTTATTTAGAATTTGCTCTGCCTTTATCTTAATTTGTTTCAGCTGAGGTTTGTCACTTATTTTCCAAGAGAAACTGAAATGAATCTTTGAACTAATTTGAGTAAGTGAACTAATCAGCAAGCATATTTTGTCAATAGAGCTGATCATACTGAAACCCATTTATACCTGATAGGACTGAGACTGCTATTAGGGGTGTTGGATATATGTTAACTATCAAAAAGTGAAGCACTTCACTACTTGCACAGAGGTGGTGAGGATCAGAGCCCTCTTCAGGAGGTCTTAGCACATTCCTTACTGTGCTCTACCTGCCTATTTCTGTACTCTGCTCCAACTTTTTTGTCTTCATGCTACCTTGCTACTCTCTGTCAGCTGTACTGATGCAATCATTTTAACGCATTGACTCACAAAGATTGGGTTTAAAAATCACTTATTTCTTCCTCTTCTATAGCAAAATTATTAAAACCAGATCAGTTTCCTAGTCCCATTCATCAGATGTCGTTAAAATAATCCCCAGTTCCAGTCTTACTGCACTGCCATAACCACTGCTTTTGCAGGGAAGTTTGACTTAACTTTATTAGATAGCAGTATTAAATATGTGAATCTTCTACTGCTTCTTAGCCCTGTTGCCCACTGTCATAAGTAGTCTCACTGAGGTGGTGGTACAGTATGTTTTTCTGTTACAGGCATTTGGATACTGGGACCTTATGACATAGTTTTGCTGGGAATCTTTTTTGCCTGCTGATTCCAAAAAGTTTTCCAAAGAAGAATTGACAAAAAATAACTCTATTTCAGACTTTTTTGCTTTGCTTTTATTTTTAGGTGTTGAGTTTACTCTTGACAAGTATAAGAACTTAGAAACTTTATTTTAAAGCCATATTCAGTATCACAGTCTTTGATCTAGAAGCAGATATTGCCTGACATCAAAAGTACTCTTGATCTCGGGAGGACTGAAATGCCAGGAATCCCATGGTAGCAGTATTAAATACACATAAATATATTGTGGGGAGATTAGTGCAAGTGTGTC